TTTGTTATACAAGCAGTTGATGTACTTTAGTAATCATGCCGCACTCAATTTTGCAATTTGCGATAACAATATCACTGTCAATGCCACACCACGACAAAAAAGAATCACTGCCAAACTTTGAGGAACTATTCCCAAATTTATTTGGACGGAGTAATGAAAACTGTGAAGAGGAATCCTCGAAGGAAGTGGCTGACCTTGAAGAACACAGTGATAAGAAGAAGTCAGGCCAACTTTGGAAATTTGAGCTTGCTGACCCGAGAACCGTCCCAGAATACTATTGCCGACTTCCGCCTCGAAAGATAATTAGGAACGGAGTAGTCTTCTACGAGGGCCTAAATCCTACAAAGGTTTGCCGACCCACAAGAAAGCCCGTTAGAGAAGAGGAGGGGAAGAGAAAGGCTGCCGAAGAATAGGAGCACAATTGAGAATAATGCATTCTTGGTGACTCCACATGAAAACCCTCCTTTTGCTTTTATAATATAGACTGATATTAGTCGTCTTTGTTGGCCTTTTTTACTTTTCAGATGTTGGTTATCTTAATAAGAGACGGTATTGGGTCTGTGCGCTTAATAATTTAGATACGTAAGTTATGATGGAAGTAATTCTGATTTATTTCTGGTATTATTCTAGGTGGAAGGTGANAAGTAAATCTCCTTGCTGATGCCCTGACCATCCAATAGATCATTTTCTCGAATGATTAAATGTAGATTCTTTCAAGGGAACCATGATGGATGATTTTCTTAAGGCCAAAGTCAAGTTATTTTTGTTTCCTAAAAATGTTATGCCAGATTCAGAGACAGGAATGTGTTTAATCAAATTAATCTTTTAGCCTAATGGCTCACCTCCGAGTAAAGGCACAAAAACAGCCTCGGTTTTTAAAACAGGCAATCCTCCAATGTTCATACGATTTTGTAAAATCTTATATATTGGCTTTTGATTTGTTCAGAGAGGGAAGGTCAATAAGTTTACCCTGTCGAGTGATTTCTAAATTTGCAGCTAAGTTAAGAGAGATCCTGAGGAAGCATAGTGAGAGAGCTGAAGTGAAATGAAAGTGAATTTTAAAAGTGAACTGTAGTCGCGTTATATAAAATATTCGTAGAAATTTCAAAATTTTATTTTCTTGCATATGAATAGTTTCTCATAACCAATGTCTTTTTTAAGGGATAAATAATGATAATTCACCAAGTTGGTTGGGTGAACATTTTACTGCGGTACACTGGTGTCAAGTCTACTTACACTAATCAATATCATTTTTTTAATTATTACTACTGGTGTCAGTTGAAGGAACAATTGCAAATTTTTAGCATTGACTGGCATCTGAAAGTTCCAAATAATGATATATTCTAATATGGGGTTGAAACGGAGAGGAATCAAACTGGAGCACATAATGCAGCCAGAATGTGATGATCATGAGCCATTTTATTCTTAAAGTAACGAGGAAGAAATGAATCATTTTTTGCAGCTATAAAATGCTTCAAGGCCAATAGTTTCATATTTGATAGGCCAATTTCTTAGAGGAACAATATTTAGAGCTAATTGGCTGGTCGTGTGGCTTTTGTTCATTAACATCATTCAACTGTCCCAAGCACACAAATACTTTATAAGTAAAATTCTCATTTCAGTACCATGATATTGCCTCCCCTACGTAAATTCGACTATTGTAGCAAAGTGTGGCCAAGGGGGGAAAGTTAAATCAATATTTAGTATATTTATTAATATTGAAAAGACTTGATACAGAATATTCAATATCACTATAACTAAGATAAGGGCCATGAGACCCCTTTTAGCCGTGCCACACTGTATATCGTGGTTCGTACATTAAATTATTATTATTGTGAAATATATATATATATATATATATACATTAATGTATATCGGAGAAAAATAAGATAATTTTACTTATATTCCTAATAGGTAGGCAGAAAAATTTTTTTAGACCCAGCCAAATAAACAATGCACAAAGGGAAAAAACCTATGGGCCATAAATAAATAATAAACAGAAAATGAGATTTAGAAAAGATGGAAATAGGAAAACAGAGCATATTTCATTTTTCTATAAACTTAGTGTAATATTGATTTTTTGTTATACAAGCAGTTGATGTACTTTAGTAATCATGCCGCACTCAATTTTGCAATTTGCGATAACAATATCACTGTCAATGCCACACCACGACAAAAAAGAATCACTGCCAAACTTTGAGGAACTATTCCCAAATTTATTTGGACGGAGTAATGGAAACTGTGAAGAGGAATCCTCGAAGGAAGTGGCTGACCTTGAAGAACACAGTGATAAGAAGAAGTCAGGCCAACTTTGGAAATTTGAGCTTGCTGACCCGAGAACCGTCCCAGAATACTATTGCCGACTTCCGCCTCGAAAGATAATTAGGAACGGAGTAGTCTTCTACGAGGGCCTAAATCCTACAAAGGTTTGCCGACCCACAAGAAAGCCCGTTAGAGAAGAGGAGGGGAAGAGAAAGGCTGCCGAAGAATAGGAGCACGATTGAGAATAATGCATTCTTGGTGACTCCACATGAAAACCCTCCTTTTGCTTTTATAATATAGACTGATATTAGTCGTCTTTGTTGGCATTTTTTATTTTTCAAATGTTGATTATCTTAATAAGAGGCGGTATTGGGGTCTGTGCACTTAATAATTTAGATACGTAAGTTATGATGGAAGTAATTCTGATTTATTTCTGGTATTATTCTAGGTGGAAGGTGATGTGGAGTGTCTTTCTTTAAATTCCTAGTTTATAGTGAGTCACTTTTAAAGGCAATGTTGGCAAGTGGCTATAGGCAACATAATCAACATGCTAACTTAATGTCCTTTTTAACTGATAAGTAATGCAATGTTATTCATTTGCTTTTTTAATTAGTGCATTTGGGCGTCCACAATTACTGATAAACTATAGTCTCGCTAATTGTTATCAGCGTCGTTTCATTGTTAATCTTATTTCTACCTTGATCATTGTAACGCATTAGGGACTATGCACAATTTCCCAGAAAAATCCCAGAGAAAGCACGTCTGGTAGAGATACTATACATTGATCTTTTATTGATTAAGATTAGTTAGATGGATAAACGGAACATAAATTGAAGACAAGAGTCAATCAAGTATCTTCAAATCGGGCATTGAGAATCTGTTGCTTTGATGATCAGCTAAATTCACTTAAACCCATAGAAGGTACTTTGTTGCAAAATCATTGCAGCATGGCTCGACCCCAATAAATAAGCCTGGAAAACAATAATTAAAATAATATTATTGAGAAGTCTGAAGAGTTGACAGTTGTTGTGGAAGTTGAAAATTACAATTGTAGGAGGACCGATTTCACCTCACTCTCACGTCATTTTTTTGTCTGACTCCACTGTCTTACAATTTCACTCTCCATTATGCCAATTATTAGGTGACATTTAGACACTTAGAGGAATGAGTAAATAACTCAAAATAAACTTTCTAATTTTAATTAAAAGCTCAGACAAGCCGCGCAAATTGCGAAAATTTGTCTTTCGCGCCGCCGCGAAAAAATGACGAAATATTCAGTTTATTGGAAGTTGTGCTAAATTGCATAAATTGGCTTGAGACTAATGCGATTGTATGTCCTATTGGCAATTTATTTCAGCAGCAAAATTCTTGTGACATTTAGTTGGGCAATAGTTTATACTGTCAGTCAATGTTAAATGATACGATTTTTGTGAATGACATTTGGCACTTGGAGTTATGAGGTTATGGTAAACTTAGTTATTGCAGAACACTATTGTTTCAACTTAATTAATTCCCTTCGAAATTTCAGCCTTATCACCTTATTACATTTCCAAAAGACTGAACAGAATGGGCAATTTGAATTCCATATTTTTTGGAATAACTTAGAAGTGGGCTCGAGACAACTCGCTACCTAATTCAAGGTTGCGAAGAAGAAACAGTACACACATTCTACCTTCCAGTTGAACATGGAGAGTTTCTCTTTTTTGTTTAGTGGGAATTTGAAGCATACCTATGAAAATGTTGTTGACCGGACGCACATATATTCCTTGAAAGACCATATGATTAATACCGTGTCGAATTTTTTCCCTCTTAATTAGCTTATCCGCGTCATGAAATTTATTCTGAATGCTATTCAATGGCCATGAAATTGACAGTCATCTTACAAATAGCGTTAATATTCGATGCTATATAACCGCCTTAACGCACCACAATGCAGTTTTTTGATCATCGAGAAAGTGGAAGCCATCTCTGGATGGGAAAATCGAATGGGAGGATTCAGAGTTGTTCATTGAAAAGTGGAGGTAACCGCTTATTATAGAATTACCATGATCTCACCAGTATCAATCCAAATGTTTCCCGATCTCCTTCGGTTTTTTGGATTTTTTATAATTTCATTTTATCCTTTCATGCCTATAAAACGTTACGTAACAAAAGTTTAATTAGACAAAACTGTATACCAACACAGATATATGACCGTTTTCGTATTTGCATAGAGGCGCTGTCTAGATTTCAATAATGTCAACTACTTTTTTTCACACCACTAAGAGAAGAAAATAATAGATCGCAAATACACTTTTAATACCACCTGTTCATGTAGGGCGCATTAATCTATTTCTACCTTGTGTTCGAGTATTGTTAAAATATGTTGTTTCAAATAAACTTTCCTCTAATGTATCTGTTTATTCCCAAACTAATCCAATTGAAATTTGGAGTCTCACATACATTTTTTGAATTACTAAAGGCTATTGATTAGAGAGTTTCAGTCCAATTACATTTCAAACAATTAGTCGGAAATGCACCTCCTTTTTATCAAAACTTTTATTTTCAATTTCTTCACTTCCAATATGCCAGAGCAGTCAATGGTTTGACTTTTACTAAAAAACTATTTGAGGAAATTTATGACGCCGTCATCGTCCTCTCTCGACAAAGCAGTGATGGCTCTTGATGCCTGGATTTTTCATCAATGGAGATGTTAGTCATACCATTTGAAGATATTTGTCTTCCAATTCATTATTTCATATGAGGCACAAATGTATTATCAGATACTACATCATAAATTTCCCTTTAAATCCATTAGTAAAGTTTCCCATATTTGCACTTAACTATTTTAAAATTCCACGTAGAAGTGCTTCTAATGATAGCCGGAGGTGTTTATCCCTCTGGCTACCTCACATTGGCTAAGGCATTTGTGATAGCGCCTTTGCAGGAGTTAACACAACTATGCCAATATTAGTTAATAATATTAAGGAAAGAGACAATTTCCAAGGACTTTTTTATTTCTAGCAAAAGTATTTAAAATATGCATACATATACTGTCTTATAATCACTTTTGTACTAGAAAATACGACTAATATGTTTTAATAGACTATTTCATATTAAATTTGCAGCATATTTATTAGAGTTCACTTAAATTCGAAGCAAATTTGGTGAA